TGAACCAGATAGGCTGTGATTCAAGGGTGGAAAAGCAAAAATTTATATTCTCTTCAATTCAGCAAAAATTCATCACATTCTTCAGAATTACACTAAGATTGTCGAATATTAACAAGCATTTTGCACTTTTCTCAGGAGGCTATTAAGACTAAATTAAGAAGAGAAATTGTGAAAAGAAAAACGGATAAATAATTGAAAGTATATATTATATGGTTCATTTCATAGGAATTGGCTCCGTTTTGATTGGATAGGTCGGCTTTTTACCGTTTTAGTAGTTCTTTGACCACCAGTTCCCTCAAAGGGCGGTTAAGGGATTGTCCTAGACTAGACCAAGAGCCAATTTTCAATGCAACCGTTTGAACTAGCTAGTCTGGTCTTAAAAAAAATGACAATAATGGAATTAAGATCGCCATAAGCAAGTCTGACACTTATAATAATTTGCACTTTATGACGCATGATGGAGGTATTTAATTGCCCCTCTACTTGGAGCAATTTAAATTTGACAAAGATCAAAGCATAATGAGCAAGTTTTCTTGATCATCTACATCTATTATGTTGTATAATATTCTGAAAATGACGGGGAATATATATTAAATTTGAAGTGGAGAATCCAAATTATAGAAAAAGTCTAAACAAAATTTAAAAAATATACCCTACTAAAAGCTAACTTCATTTTTTAAACTTTCACATATATATAATATAATTTGTGATCATTTTTTTAGGAAGATGTTTGCAACTATTGGTACAAATACAAATATTTTTGTGTTTATTTTTACTTGATTTAACTAAAAATCCACCTACATTTTTTTATAATATAACAATAGACAACCGTTTTCTTGTCAACCTATTTTAATAATTTTGAAATGTTTCTTTTCTATAGAAATATAGAATAGTTAAGAAGTTCTCAATATAACAATTACAATAGGATGATTACGAAATGCAAATGAAGATATCAAGGCAGCCAAATACGTAAGGACCATGAAAGTGGGCACCACTGGATAAATTGTCTTCATGCATGCTTCGTATTCAATGGCAAAAGAACTTGTGAGGCCCCAATTCTATACGCATTGTATTGCCGCCACGTAAAGAACGGTACCACACTTTGATTAGGAAAGCGGTAAGCACGATGACCATATGATGGCACACTTCCTTTCTATAGCTAGCTATCCATCACCATTAATTAATGTCAACTGTACTATTTTACATTTCATTTAGAAAAGTCAGTTTATAAAAATATTATTCATGAAAATAATATTGTTATGAATATTAGAATATTATGTGTATTATTTATTGTCTCAGAATTTTCTGATATCTTTCGATTGCTATAATATCTTTCATTTATTATAATCTCATATATTTTATTTAATTTGATTGATATGGTTGTGCTTATGAATAGAAGGCACCTCAGTTATATTAATTTTACATACTGAAATAAAAAAGCTCTTAATTATATTATTATCTTATTTTTTTCATTATGGTTTTCTCTTTTCTCTCCTCACAGTCTCTATTTTTACAACAAATATAACTTTCTTTCTATAATAAAATAGTCAGATTTACTCTATGTGAGAGAGAGAGAGAGAGAGTAATTTCATGATCCATTACTTCTAGATAAAATGCATGGAATATTCAATATTATTTTTGGAAATTAAAAGAGAAATTTTGAAACAAAAACATAGATAAATAATTAAAAAGGATAAAGATTAAAGATATCTGATTATATTAATAAAAAGAAGTCATTGATTTAAGAGAAAAGATCAAGAAAACTTGGGAAAAACAAGAGTTTGACAAAGAGCACAAGAAGAGAATGCATGATATATATTCCATAGTCCCAGATCGGTAAGGTGAACTAAGGCGTGGGACTCTTATCTGCAAAATCCAAGGTGGCTAATGGTGCAAGTTCGGAGCAATGCACGGGGAAACCAATTATTGAAGTTGCAACTCTAGCTCCAAGCTTTAATTTATTTATTTATTTATTATTTTTGGGGAAAATTATATACAGGTCTCAGACAAGATAATTAATTATTACCAAATCCTTTAACAATTAAATTGAGGCTATTGACAACACAATGTGTTATTATTTTCCTTAATTCAGTTGTTAATGAACCTTATAGTAATTAATTCTCTTGTGTGAGATTTCAACGTAATTCTCCCTTATTTTTATTCATGTTTTTTAATTTTAATTTTTTTAAATTAGTAAATTTCATGTCATAGGAATCGATTTTGGTTTGATTGGAGAGGCAATTTTTTGACTAGTTTAGTTGGTTTTCGACCGCCAGTCCCTCAAAGGCCAATTAGGGGTTATCCTGTACTAAACGAAAAGTCAGTTTCTAGTCCAATCATCTGAATTGGCCAGTTTGATCCTATTTTAATTTTAAACAAGTCTAACACTTGCAACAGTTTACACTTTAATGAGGCATGGAGGTATTTAATCTCCCTTCAACCTGGGGCCTCTTAAATTGTCCAGTCCCAATAGTGTTGCCAATATTGAATGACATTTGCTGCTTAGGTCCCAATAGTTGTAGTGTTCTCTCTATCCCTATAAAGACTAAAAACACTTAAAGCAACTACATGAACTGAAAATGAAATCAGATAAAATTATAAGGATCAATGATTGTATTTTTCCTAAATATGATACAATTCATATCATTTATAATCTCTCTCTTCTTTATGCTTTTCTTTAAAAGAAACTAAAATTAATAGTTTTGCTGTCAACTTTAAAAGCACATCCACTACTAAAAAAAAATACAAATTAGTGAAGGAATTTAGCGAGGAATCATTTATTCCTCTCTAAAATACCAAATTAAGAAGGAAATTAGTGAGAATTTCATAGCTTAACTTAAAATTAGTGAGAAAATTAGTGAAGGACTATTAATCCCTCTCTAAAATAAGAGAATTAGCAAAGAAAATAACAAAATACTATCAATCATTTTCTAAAATAAGACAATTAGTGAGAAAAATAGCAAGAGACTATCAATTTCTTTCTAAAATAAGAGAATTAGCAAGAAAAATAGCAGAGACTATCAATTCCTTTTTTAAAATAAGATAATTAGTAAGGAATTTAGCGAGAGATTCTATCCTTAGCTAATTATTGCAAAAAAAAAAACTTTTGACAATGACTTTTAATTACATATTTAAGTATTTTCATTTAAATATAATAATTAAATTTAAAAATTAAATTAAATATTTGTAATAAAATTATTTAATATTTTCTTTACTTTAAGTTAATTTTCATTAATAAATAATATTTTATTAAAAATATAATATAAAGAATAATTTAAATAAAATATAAATATTTTTAACATATTAATAATTGAAAATAAAATTTAATATGTAAATGTGTGTATTTTTATAATATATTATTTGATATATTTATATATTTAAATAATATATATACATATTTAATTTCTCATATCATGACAGCAGGTGCCTTGAGATTTAACTGGCAAAGAAGGAGAGCATAAGGCTTAGAATGTATGAAGTGAAGGGTTCAAGCCTTGCCTTTGGCATAAACATGATGAATATATGATATGGTAAGAAGCAAGTGACATGATGCAAGGTGGACAATGATGTGTCATGAGTTGTTGCACATGTGGCGGGTGATGGGACACGAGATGGCAAGTGACATGGTGGTTGACAAAGTAAGAGGTTGTTGGTGACATGTCATAAGTTAATATCACACATGGCGAGTGATATAGCATAATTAATTTTAAATATAGGTATATTTAGTGAGGGATTAGTGAGGAACTAATTCCTCACTGAAGTTATCAAATTTTAAATAGTATTAGAAGGGATTAGCAAGGGACTGAATCCCTTGCTAAATTTCTTGCTAATTAGCAAGGAAAATATAATTTCTCATTAAATTTAGCGAGTCTTTTTTAACTATGAATTTAGTAAGGAATAAAATTCCTCACTAAAATTCTATTTAGCTATGAAAAATGGTATTTAGTAAGGGATTTGTCCCTTGATAAATTTCATTTTTCTAGTAGTGATCAATGTAAAATGTTAATCCCTCAGACCCAAATTATAAGATACTTTTGAAATAGATTCAACATCCTAAAATATAAGACACTTTGATAAAAATAAGGTTTTATTAATGATATTTTTTTAATATTACCCTTTTTATTATATTCTCTCTCTTTGAATGGAGTATTAAATGAAGGGCTTTTTTTGATAGTTTATCTTTTTGTTTTGAAAAAAATGAAGTTGTAAGGAGTATTTAATGAGCTTCATTGATTCATGTGATTTTGTCTAAAAATATTTTATATTTTGGAATGGAGAGAGTATAATTTTATAAAATAAGCTCACCAAACCAACACAAATATAAATCTATAAAAAAAATTTGGAAGTTCTTGATAAATATGCATATGAAAAATACAATTGTTTGTCCCTATACTTTTAGCATGTTTTGATATTAGTCCTAATACTTTTTTCATTGCTCTAACTCCCTTAAATTTTATGTCTACAATGTTACTCTTCATCATAATTGACAAAGGTAAATCTGCTGATGTGTACATAACCCTTTAGTTTTGTTGCTGAGTTAATACAATTATGATGTGTTGAACATTATAGCTACTAATATTTATGCATGCATACCTTCACTGTATGTTTTCTTCCTTCTGAAGCTTCAACCTTGCCCATTTAAGTTATGATTTAATATCCTTCTTGTTTTTTTTTTTGTCTTCTACTTATTTTTTATACAACTCATCATAATTTTAATAAGTCAGCATAATAAGTTGTAGAGTTTATATACATGTTAGCAACCGTTAAGTCTTTATAATCATTTAAAAACATAGGAACCAACATAGTAGACAAGTGAACTTTAAGGGACTTCAAACAAAGTATATGATTACATTGTCAATAATTTGGCAAAGGGGCTACTCTTTGGAGTGGAAGTTCAATTACATAATGAAGTCTGTGCTTGGAATCTAGTTAAAAAAAAAGTGAAAGTAGTCGAGAGTTCGCTATATTTGCGTAATACATTAAAAAGATGGAGAAGAGGGTTATTTAATATTAATGATATGCAAGATCCTATACATGAAGGTGTATAACCTAACTTGCATGTAGGATCTGCTCATTCGCTTATTGTTATTTTATTTTATTCGTAGCAAAGCACATACATACATGCTCAGATATTGATATGGCACTCTAGCTAGTAGCCAGTACTATGCCAAACTTTTCGGTAACATATTGTTGATTGCATTAAACACGCATTCATAAATTGCATTCACAGTTTTTGCAGCCAAGTTCAATGCAGATCTCAGGACATAAGGCTTTATCAGAGCACTGTATGGAGGGTTGTTTTGAATATCATGGAACCTACTCCACAGCATAACTCCACCATAATTGGATGATTGCTTCACATAGGGAAGAACCTGAGAATTCATCACTTCCGTTGGGATATATCCACCGCTTGGAGCTCCGGCGGGTGTGGCCGGCAACCCTAGAAAGACAGTCCCATTGGAAGGAGATGATGGAACACGAGATATCCAATCATTCCAAGATTGAAACAAGAGAGCGGTGTTGCCGTCTGAGTATTGACACGGAGGGTTATTGTAGAACTGGACAAAGATATAATCAAAATAACCAGTTTTAATAGCCGTGTCTAAGTAATAGTCTGGGATGAAACATTGTGGGGCTGCTGATAAGTACAAGGTTTTTTGTTGTTTGAAGGCATAGAGTTCTTTTGCAAGGTCTTCCCAGTGAAGATTGGAGCCACCTGTTAAAGATAAAAGAAGTTCCACATCTAGAAATTAGAAAATAGATTATGAATATATATATATATATATATATATAAAGCTTGGGAGATAAAATAACTTAATCTATTTTGGTAAAATATACTATCCTTAAAAATTTAACTATTAGAGCCATTCAATGGTTGGGGGGGAACCGAGAACAGAGAAAAGAAGAGAAAGAATATTGAAAGATGAAAAAACAAGAAATTAAGAGAATAAAAATTTTTTAATAGACTTGAGTTTTATGAGACTAAAGAAAGGTACAATTCCAGGCAAGAAGAAAAAAGTAATGGAGAGTATTAGAGTCAAAGGAAGTCCCACATCTAGAAACACATCTAGAAATTAGAAGATAGATTATGAGTATATAAATCTTGAGATGTATCTAACTAAATGACTTCAATTACTTTGGTGGAGCAGACCCCTTAAACATACTAAATATATAAAAAAAAAATTAACATAATATCAAAGCCATTGGATCATAGACAACAAAAATGAGGGGGAAAAAGGAAATGAAAGAAGGAAACAGCAACAACGATTTAATAGACCTACTTGAGACTAAAAAAAAGGTACAAGCCCATGCAATAAGAACATGAAGAAAAAAAATAGTAGAGGGAATATTAAAAATAGAAGAAGTCTCACATCTAAAAATTAAAAGATAGATTATGAATGTATAAAACATGAGATGCATCTGAACAAATGGTTTAAGTTATTTTAATAAAGTAAACCATTTTTAAGTATATTTAATCTATAAAAAAAAATTTAACACCACCTTCAATGTCAAAATCGATGCCGTCTAGGGCAACACTTCCTAGTGGGCCATATTGACCACTGAGGAAGTTGTTCCAAAGGTAGTTTGCAACGACCTTGGCATCATCTGCCGAAGCAATGGAGTAGCTTCCAATGGCTCCTCCAAGGGAAAGGAACACTTTGATGTTTTGGCTTTGGCAGAATTGTATTTCTGGAGCTAGTTTAGTGCAGGGGTCCCAACTACCACAATGGCCAGCGAAATTCCAGTCCGGCGTTCTTCCAGCACCAAAGACGTGGAGGAAAGCGAGAAGCACAATCTCATAGTTTCCAGAGGCACATGTGCTTGTTAATGAGCCTTCATTGCCGTTCTGGCCCCAATAAATGGCTATTTGAGCACCAAAAGAGGGCTTGATGGTGAAGCAGATGGTGATGAGAGAAAAGAGAAGGATCAATGCTTGTGTTTTGATGGAAGCCATGCTTTTTGGGCTGTGAATGCTTGAGAAACCACTCTCCAATTTATAGAGATGCTAAGGTTAGTATTAATTAGGGAGAACTGCCATGCAGAACCAACATATTTTCATTGAAGACCCAATAGAATTTGAAATAATTCTGCTGGCCCTAATGCCTCTTTTGCAACCAAGTACAAAAATAATTCAATTTGAAATAATTGAAGAACATTACGCGTCTTACATTTGCATATTATTGATTAAGTACAAAAATATAACACAAATAAATTATTGCTTGCGTATTTCCTTGTCGTGGATAGGAATGTCAACTTGGGTAATCAATAATACACAGCTCATATGTCATCCATTTAATAAATGTGCAAACATATTATTACTGCCCAATGTAGGAGGACAAATAAGGTCCATTTTAGTGGGATCCACAGAAGATGATCAATTAAAGGAAGCAGCTAATTTAGGTGTCAGGACGAGCGAAAGTGGGCTCTGATTAAGTTGTTTGTATCGTAGAATATATAGCACATTCCACATATGTCGACTTTTGATATGCACACATAACAATCTGATATATCAAATATTATTGGATGCATATTTGAGCATTATCAAACTAAATTTCTCATAATATTATTCTAATTTCCCACCTGCGATATTTGAACTATCAAATATTGCTTGAGAATAATCAAGACCATCCTACTCCAAGTAACTACTATTGTGAGTCTGTGTATAACCTCTTTTTCATGGTTATATGATCTCTTTTTCACATTCAATGGGAAACGTACTGTCTATCTCTTGGGATCAATTTCTATTCCAATATTCATACAATCTCATGTATTTCATGGAGTTTGAGGTTTATATGTGATATTATTAACAATAACTTATAAATAATATGATTTCATATAAGCTAAATTTTGCACTTGCGACGAATTTGATAGGAATTGATGGGAGGGTGGGGGATAAAAGATTTTAATGATTATGGAAATCAATTAAAATTTTTCAAATTGACTTCTCTATTTTTCCCAAATAAAATTACAAAAATCTCCTCTTTCCTTCGCTCCACATCTAATTCTCCTCAATCCAAATAGATACAAAATCTATAGTAGGTAATTTTATTAACATCAAATGAATTGTTAAAGTTAGAATCAAGGACATAAGCCAAGTACTTTTTGAATATATCATGGATATTGTATACCTTTTTTTTTTTGGAAAAATCAAATTAGACATGATACTTTTTAGATTTATGATTTTCTTTAGTCTCATTTATAAGATAGAAAGAGTATTTGTTTTTGTTCCATTTATAAGGCATTTAATTTGTACAGTTTGTATCTATCTTTATCCTTTTGCTCTCATTAAATATTGGAAAGATTATTAAATAGTAGAATTTTTAATTTTTAAATTATCTATATTTAATAGAGACAAAATTGAACACTTGCTGAATTTTTAAGCAGAATTAATTAATATGTTCAAAATTTTTCTTGATTTTGATAAAAGATATTAAAAATAACTTATAAATAAAATGAAAGGAAGTATGCTATTTCAAAGTCTCATTCTTCCACTGCAAAATATTCTCAATAAGATTGAGAAGGAAAAATTTGTGTACGTTTGTTATGTAAGATGATCAAGGAAAAATTTAATTTCATGAGTGCAAGACATGCCGAAAGAAGATAAGGTTGAAGGGTTATGCGTGGTCGAGAAAAAACAATTTGTGTAAGGTTGAGAAGGAGCATCTCAGATCCTCACTAAAATCACTCACCACAGTGGAAATAAAAAATAACGACGGTTGTTTGTGTAAGGGTGGCACAATGTTGCCCCTCATTATTAAAAAATGGAACAATGTTGTCCATTCATAAAAATTCTGTCAATTAGGCTGTTGGTTGACCCAAAAATCATAAATCCAACTTTAAAAATTAACAGTAAAAATTAAGTATGTGTACTGGAGAAGAGACAATTTGTATAAGGTTGATAAGAAGCGTCCAAAATCCTCAGTAAAGTCCCTCTTTTTTTTTTTTTATATTAAGTATATACCTCCGTGTGTAATAAAACAATATTAAAAATTTATACATTAATCGTCATTGCAACTAATTAACAAAATCAACAGTGCCATGCTTCCACAAAAAGGAGGTCATACGTATGTTAGACATGCTTTCGGGACTTTTTTTTTTTTTTGGAAGAATATTAGGAAAGAACCTTTAGAAGAATTTAATATCTAATAAGGATGTAGATGGATCGGATATTATCTCCGTTGTTTTTTTTTTTTTTGGCCCAGAGCCTAACTTTTATAAAATTAGTTTTATAAATAAAAAGTAAAATAGTACAGCTAAAATTAATTAACGTCAGTGGACGACGAGCTGTCAAAAGGAAGTGTGCCATCATATGGTCATCGTGCTTATCGCTTTCCTAATCAAAGGGTGGTACCGTTCTTTACGAAGCATGCATGAAGACATTTTATGGTGGTGCCCATTTTCGTTGTCCTCACGTACTAAGCTAAGCTACTTTGAGTTGATCTCTTCATTTCTATTTTGTAATCATAAAGCGTACGTAATTATGCAGAGAAGTTCTTAACTATTCTATACATATTTCTATAGAAAAATAACATTTCAAGCAGTTGCAATATAATATTAAAAATTAAAATATAATAAAAGATAAAATAATAAATTATAACTTACATAGAATTATTTTTTTAATAACTAATGAAATGAAAATTAATATTTTTTATAATATTAATATTAATATTTATATTATTTATTGTTTTGAAAACACATGGTAAATAATGCCACCTTTTGTTTACTTTTTTTTTTTTTACATATTTTTATCAGAAAATGACAATAAATTCCAGCAACACAAATAGGTTGTGCACAGCTTAACTAGTTAAACCCAAACATATCAATGGCAGCAAATATTTTGGCAACAACCAATATACAACACAATACATAGCTTACTAAAATGAGGCAAGACCATGAGTTGAAGGAATGGGTCTGCCACCCACGAACTAAGATAAGAGGGAGATGAGTGGGAATAAAAGTTGAGGATTTTAAGGTAACGCTTTTCTCGGGGGACGCCACTTGAGAGTTAATAAAATATTATTATTTTAAGAACCCTATTTAAAATACTCCATCTACCTCAAATTATAAAACATTTTTAAATAAAATTTTATATACCAATAAATCTCATTAAATACATTTAAGAATCTTATCTTTTCAAAATAAAACTATAAACTTCTCAAAATACCCATCATTTAATATATTGAAAAGAAAAATGATGGAAATTAATTATAGAGAAAGAGAAGGGTAATATTAAAATTGATGTATTTAATAAAATTTTAACATACTTAAAGTATCTTATATTTTGAGATGAAAAAATTCTTTTAAAAATATTCTATAATTTAAGACGGAGGGAGTAACAATCTTTTATTAACCCTCAAGTGGCCTTGTCTGATTTCTTTGAGAAATGCCACCCTGTTAATAAAAAAACCTAACAATTTTAATTATTATTGTTTTAATAACAGGACTGGACTTGACAACCTAACAGTTTTAATTATTAATGTTTTAAAAATAGGACTCGACCGGCTAGTTCAAATGGTTGGACAAGAAACCAACTCTCGGTCCAGTCTCAGACAATAATTTTTAGGGTATAAAACAATAATTTTCTCCTTTAGAAACTCATACTTTTTCCCCCCAGCAAAGTCATATATTCCACATACATCGTTTAAAAAAAATAAAAAATCTTGTGGGGAGGGGGTTCCCCCCCCCCTCCCACTCCCAAAAACCATAACCTCAGTCTGCCCCAAGTAGCTAGTCTGGGACAAATGGACAACCCTCTAACCGGCCTTAGAGAGAACTGATGGTCAAACATTGATTAAACCGGTCAAAAACTGACCTAACCAATCAAAACAAAACGACTTCCCATGGTATGAACCATACTAATGTATACTTTCAATTATTTATCTATGTTTTTGTTTCAAATCTTCTCGCTTTAGTTTAGTCATAATGACCCTTGCAAAAGTGCATGATGCTTTATTACTTTTTTATATAGTAAATTATTTTATACTAGACAATTTTAGTGTAATTTTAATTTGAAGAACTGTGAAGAGATTTTTGCTAAATTGAAGAGAATATAACCCTTTCACCGTTGCCTTCTAATTTTTAGATACTACTAAAATGATATTTAACATTAAAAAATATACATTTATTTAATCTAATCTTATAATTTTAATTTAATTTATTCTATAAAATGTTACTTCTAATGTTATATTTAATTACTAAAATTAAAAATATATTAATTTAATTACAACTAGTTCATGAAACAATGACAATTCAACCATTGACCCTTGAATCACAGTTTTATCTCGTTCAATGATTGGTCTGGTTTTTAGAAACCCTGATTTTTATGCTGGTTTGCATTGACAAAATGCTTATATTAAAATGAGATGGTATTGAATTACATTTTCCTTCCAATGAATGGAGCTCATTCTTAATATTACATTTCTCTAAGGCAAATTATACAACGACACATGGTCCTTATTTATTGTCCTCGACACGACTCAATTTTTCATTAACTTATTTTTTAGATGGATAATTTTGTTAAAAAAAGAATTGAATAAAATTACGCATCGTACATTTGCATGCATATTGATTATCAACAAAATATATATATATATATATATATATAACGAATAAACTATTGCCAGAGAAATTCTTGGATGTGGATAGCAATGACAACTTGAGTAATCAATAATACATAGCTCAGATGTCATCCATTTAATATATGTGCAAAAGTATTATTATTGGTCAATGTAAGAGGACAAAGAACGTTCATCTTAGTGGGATCCATAGAAGATGATCAATTAAAGGAAGCAACCAATTTAGTGTAAGATGAGAGAAAATGGGCTCTGATTGATTAAGTTGTTTGTATAACATAGAATAGCACGTTCTACATATGACCACTTTTTATATATACTCATAACAATCTAATATCAAATATTATTGGGTCATACTTACACATTATCAAGCCTAATGCCTTGATATATGATTTTTCCGAACT